ATATATATATATATATATATATATATATATATATATATATATACACGTGTGTGTATAAAGGCGTTTTAAACCCTTCCCACACTCTTACAATATTCTGAACAATGTTTCTAAACACTAAACGCTCTAAAAGAGCATAGCATGTCATGATCTCAGCTCTCTGCCTCCGGCTGCTCTCTGCCATCTGCCAGCGCTCTCGGCCACGCCCACTTCTCCGCTGCAGAGCAGAGATATGACATGCTGCAAGACGAGCTGTGGGCTGCACACAAATTTTAAACAATTTATTTTAATTAAAAATGCCATGCTGATTGTGTCGCTCATCCGTCAATCAGCCAATTGTGCGTCACATCCAAACTTATTTTGAAAAGCCGCAATAGAGCGAGTCCACGAAAAATGAAGTGCGAAGTAGCGAGGGCCTACTGTTCATGTATTTAGTTATTTGTGGCCATGTTTGTGAATCAGAAGGAGGCAAGTGGAACAATAAGGCTACAAGGAGCAGAGGTCACAAAGTTTCATGACTCCAAGTATTTAAGAGCCCGGCATAGTCCATCCAAAGTGTTTAAATTGTCTCTCATTGTCGTAGTTGTGTGATGAAAATTGCATAATTTTGTTTGCAGGGCAGCTTCGCCCATCCCTTCTCGACACAAGCCTTGGACGAACTTTTTCTCACAGGCATATGCTCCAAGGACTGTGTGATTGGTCAAAAGTTTGAGGATGTGTTCATCAATGTGGAAATGCGCTCAAGACATTCAGTTGTAAAACTCTTCAAACACACTAAATTAGTCCAATGGCCAAAACCTCCTGAATGGAGATTGTGCAGACATCATGTATGGAGGAGTCTGTCTGCTGAAAAGTGTGGCGTTTTCTTTATGACAGATTTGTGGACAAATGGAGGACGCAGGGACGGAGTGGAGACTCTGGCAGGAAGAAACCCGCATCATAACGTATACTGCAGCGCGCGGGGGGGGGGGGGGGGGGATCACAGGAGCTCTGTGTCTTGGGGACTATGAAAGGTGTGTGTGTGAAAACAAATGTCCCACAACCATGTGACTGCACATCGACTGTTCGGCTTCAGATGGAGTGTTCCAGGCCCATTAGGGTTGACAGTCCAAGAAAATGGGAAGTGTGGTAAAGAAATGAAAAAGAGAGTTGAGTCAGGATGGAGTGGATGGAGAACAGTTTCAGAAATGATGTGTGACAAAAGGGTGTCAGCAAAGGTCAAAATAAAAGTTTACGAGACAGTAGTGAGACTAGCTATGGTGCATGGTTTGGAGACATAGACATGGACACAAAGACAGGAGAAAGAACAGCAAGTGCAGCTGAAGATGTTGAGGTTCTCTCTAAAAGTGACCAGTATGGATAAGATTAGGAATGAGATCATCAGAAGTACAGAACAGTTTGAACAAGTTGGAGATAAAGATAGAGACTGAGATGGTTTGGACATGTCCAGAGGAGGGACAGTGGGTATAATGGTAGAAGGATGTTAGAAATACAGCTGCCAGGAAAAAGACAAGGAAGGAGGAGATATATGGATGCAGTTAGAGACAAAATGGAGGTAGTTAGAGTGAGGACAGGGAAGAGGATGCTCCCTGTGGACACCAGTGAAGAGGGAACAGCTGAATGAAGATGTGTAGCAAAAGATTACTGTTAAATTAAAGGAACTTACCAAATTCAGATTTTGCTTGAACTGTTCATAAATCTTTTGTGTTTTACAAAAAAATTAATAGATGCACCCCAAAGATTAGGGCATTAAACCATTTCAAACTTTCTTTGGCCAAATAACCATAATGTTGAGAAATTAAATTCCTTTCTGATGACTTGGTGTCTATGGTGCCCAGTAGTCTGGGATGTCAAACTACAAGCCAGTTAATTAAAAATGAAAATGTCTTACCCGTCCATTTTTGCAGATGTAGTCAAACAGCTCACCTCCTGATACATACTCCATGACCATGAAGAAATCTGTTGGTGTGCTAATCACTTGGTAGCTGGAGCAAGAAAAAGCAAATGTACTGATGTGAATGAGGTCCAGGTCCAGATGACCTGACTAAACATTGTTGGATTTATACCTGGATTAATGAGCATGAACTTCAGTGTACTGATGTGGACTTCCTTCACATTTATTAGCCTTTCACATGCAATCTCTACAGTTTATTATTAAATCTCACTCAAGCCTATAAACTCATTTTATGAACTCCCAAGTATGCACATAACACATACACAAAATAAAGGCTGAGCGTAGGTAATATTTTCATAAAGGTCAGCTTTATTAAATTGAAAGCCAAGTAGCACGAATTATTACTTGTGGGAAATTCTACAATTCATCACAGTCTGTTGCTTTCTTGTTGAGCCAAGTGACGCCAGAGAGTCTTAGTGCAGGAAAAAAACAACACAAATTACAAGTGTTTTCATTTACCCCCAACATGCAAACATACAAAGGTTTTAAGACTCTTTATTAAGAACAAATAAAGCTATTAATTATTTAAAGCTGTGTCATTTTCTACAAACATGTTGAAAATGTTCTAGACTACCGTGCACTGGTCTGCATGCATGCATGACCGATAGCTAAAGTATTTGTTGCTAGGCAGCACTGTTTACAAAGTTACGCAGCACTTTTGTAAATGACCTGGGAGCTCCTATCTGTTATCACCTAAGGGTGTGAAAGTATGGACTAATCTTTGCTGCCACATCCTAAAAATAACACTGAGGTTATTCAGACAGAGAAATATAATGGTTTGACTAAGAGAAAGACACAGCATTGAATTGGGCGTGTTGTGTGGGGAAACATCTAGTGGTCCTCCAGGACCAAGACTGGACACCACTGATTTAAAGCATTGCTCATTATCTTTGCTTGAGATTTTATTTTTATCTCTGTCCAGGCTTGTGTCTCTGTGTATGTGTGGGTGAAAGAGGGAGGACATTAGTGTATTTGTGCTCTACCTACAAGAAATTTGTGAGCATGGTCAGTCCAACAAAGCCAAGTGATCATAAACTGTTAATACAAAACCTATAAACCAATAAGTTCCATATCTATAAGGCCTGACAGCACCAGGAGTCTAAAATACGATGAAAGAATGTGTTGTATTTCTCCACTTACAGCTTGATGATGTGTGGGTGTCGGAACAGCTTGAGATTCTGAATCTCTCGCTTGATCTTCCCCACAACATCGAGACTGCGGATCTTCTGCCTGTTCAGGATCTTCACAGCCACTTTATGTCCTGTCAACTGATGCTCACCAACTACAACAGCAGAACGCACACGGGAAACACACCATACAGATGAGCTATAATGAAGCATAAAGAAGTTTGTGACAAGGACATCAAAAATGACTACAAGCTGGTGGATTGCTACAAAAAAAAAAGATTTTTGTCTTTCGGTCGCTCCCTTCTTCAGGGGTCGTCACAGCGAACTAACTCACATGAAGACTTGACAATTGATTTTACACCAGATACCCTTGAGCCTTCTGTGTGGAGCAAAGAGCTGCCATCTAGGATGCTCTGGGGAGCAGATGGTTGGGTTTAAGTGCCTTGCTCAAGGGCACAGTGTGGGGCGAATGAGGGTGGAGGCAGGTGTGAGTGTTTCACCTTTCCCAACCACATTTTTTTAAAAAGGTTGTCGGTCCAGGGAGTCGAACCAGCGACCTTCCAATCCAGGCCCACCTTCTCTACCCTCTTCACCACCACTCTCTCATGCTTGCAGCAAATTATGCGCTGCAGAAAAATGGAATTAAATTTGCTTTTTTTTCTTGTTTGTTCGTTTTGTTATTTGCTCTAAACAGCTGAAACACACTGAGTAATGAATGTGTGCCTAATCTGTGGCACAAAATAACATTTTTTTCTATTTTGATGCAGCATGCAGATAATGTTCCTAATTTATTGTTGTAATGATTTGATCTGATTTCTCCTGCGCAGAGGATTTAAACTTGAGCCATGATGGCAGCTCATCTTAATTTAAACTGCGCACTCATAAAAACAGGGTGAAAAGCACAAGGTCATTACGAGACGTGGAAAAACTACCTGGAAAAAATAATAGCTTGCTACATTAAAAACTACATTGTCCCGAAATGTTTTTTTTTTTCCTGAATTAGCCATCCAAATATGATATCTAACAAGCTAGCACAGCTTTAAAACAACAAATGTTCGTTTACTATAAGTGAGCTTTATCCGACCCTAACCACGAGACGGGACCTAAACTATAAATAATTATTTGTTAAAGAGAAAATAATAATAATGAGTGTTGCTTTGCTGGTTTGTTGTCTTCCAGGTAATTCCACCTGCCATAGCTGATAACTGTAGCTACCGAAAGCTTCTTCGGTGGAAGAATTTGACTTTGAAGCGGGGGATTCTCAAATCACTGTTACGTCAGAAATCCAGGTTGTTTCTACTTCTAAAGCGCTCTGTTACGCAAACTGCGTGCTGTCAAGTTAAACACGGTGCGTTAAAACAGCAGACAGGGACACTAGTTAAGGTTAACTACTCCGTCCGGCAGACACAAAACGCCCACATTACCTTCAGTGTTATACAAATAAAACGACTTAACTCTTTACTTTGCCGAATGTCCCTACTCCGAGCGTGTCGCCGAGGATGTAATGGCCGATTTTTACCCTGCCTTCGTGCTTCTGTTGTTGCCGCTCAGCCATCTTCTCGGTTACGGACGGCAGGGTCCGCTCGGTGCGGTGGGCGTGCTGCCGGCTGGCAGCCTGTGGGGCACACGGAGGGGCGGGCACTTTAGCTGCGAGAAACCACAACGTGGAGCCTCCACCGAGCAGACATGACGGCGAGCAAAACAAAAATGCTTTTTAAAAAATCAGGGGCCTCATGTGTCAACGTTGCGTACGCACGAAAAGGTTGCGTGCGCCAGGTCCAATGCACGAGTCGGGATGTATCAACATGAACGTTGCGTGAAAGTGTGCGTAAATTCACGCACACTTTTGACTTGCCGTGAGATTGCTTCCACGCAAACCTTCAGTCCACAGGATCAGACTACGAAGTAGTGACACCCACGTAAATACACCGAAATATGACTGTTTGGTTTTCTGAACTTAAAGGATATTAAAAGATGATTTATTTATTTTATGGTTTAAATCCAAACAAGAAACTGAACCTCATTTAACCTTAAACAACATAACATCTAACGCGCCTCCAAAACGATCAAAACAATCTCAAATCAATGTGAACTGTAAAGTTTTTATATTTTTATCACACACGCCTGCGAGGCGCACAGACTGAGGAGCATAAAGTGTGTGTGTGTGTGTGTGTGTGTATGTGGGGGGGGGGGGGGGTAAGTGTGTAAGAGGCATTTCATTCTCACTGACACGAAAACGATGTCAGATCAGCAAATTAATTCAGAACCATCATCTGACTCCTCAGGTCCACTACACCATCATATATGTTCATAAATAGCAGCGTAAAGTTGTGCGTAATTGTGGAACAGTGGCAGCAGTGATGCGGGATGACGTCACCAATATAATAATTGGGAAGCTTTTTTTTCAAGGATCACTCAGACCAAATACTGATCAGATACTTCTGTTGTCCCTGAGCTGTGCCAGCTGGATGGGATGACCTGATTCATAAAATCTCCCCACACCGCGGAGGAAATACTTTAATTGGCGACTCGTTTTGTTGCATCAACTAAAGAATAAACTTTTTAAGTTCTACCAAGCTCCTGCGTGCCTCTTTGTTTACAGTAATTGTTTATTAAACACGTGCGTAACGTTGGAAACGTCTTAGAAAGGACCCTCCAGCAGACCTGCGCCCCCTGGTTTACTTTACTCAAGAGCAAAACCTGTTCACGTGTGTGGCAAACAAGTTTTTACACTTAGGAGCGTCTCTGGATCCCATTCAATGAAATGCTTCATTTTGCTGCATCTAGACATGTTTTTTAACATGCAGAGACCAGTATTAACATGCAGAGACCAGTATCCAACATGCAAAGGAGGAGTGACAGGGGTGGAGTCGGGTATTCCCTCGTGAGCTCAGTTCCACGTTGATTGGGATTTAAAAAAAGGACGCGTGCTTAGATCGGTTTGATTTCACACATCTGGATTTATTTGTGCTGCTTTCTCGATTTAAGCGCATGTTTCAGTATCAATGCACGCAAGCCATGAGGCACGTGGAGAGCCTGAGCCACCTTTGCCATGATGTTTGTAAATGGACTGTACTTATATAATACTTTTCTATCTTATCATATACTCAATCTGTGCCTCATTTACCCATTCATACAGCACTCTACTATATATAAACAAAGAATAATCAGTGATTTATCACATTCATACACTGATGGACACACATCAGAGGCAATGAGGGGTTCAGTGTCTTGCCCATGGACACTTTAGCATGTGGTTGTTGGTGGAATTGAACCCCCCAACTTTTGCATTGGAGGACGACTGCCTTAGGAATTTACTGAACATTGTTTTCTTTTTGTTTGTTTGTTTGTTTGTTTGTTTGCATCTAAAGTATGCCAAAACAACACAGTCTGAAAGGCATGAAACAGTGATTCCAAAAAACATCCTGCATGCCATGCTGACACATGACAGATTCAACTTGTTATAGAAAACTTTATTATAAAGGCATGTTTGCCTGTTTCTGTATTAGTATTAGCAGTAGAGTAAAAAAGTATAATTTTATCCTGTTTAGAAGGCTGCTGTTTGACTCATATTCTGGGTTTTGATTCATTTGTTACTCATAAATAAAGGTTGAATGAACGAATGTCTGCTGTGGTTCATGCCTTAGAAATTACAATAAATTATATTTAAAATTATATTTACATTATCAGTTTGTGTGGGGTTTTTTTTTTTACATGTTCCTTAAGTTCCTACGTGTTTTCTTTCTTATTTAAAAAAAATTGTTTGCTTCTTCATTTAATAAATGAAAAATAAAAATGGAAAACAAACAAAGGTGGCTCTTTAAACTTACGGAGGCTGAGGTGAGCTGCTTGTATACAACCACTGGATGGCAGTGTAAGTTTGATTTATAAAGCATAAAACAGCTGGCTTATTCTGAGAAAGTTTGCAATTTCTATCAAGTTGAGAAACAGCTGTGGCTTTTGACTTCAATGCCAAAGTGAAAACTGGGTCATTAAATACTCTGAATTTCTTTAAATCACATTTTCTAAGATTCATGATTAAAGTAAACAAGACAATTACACTATTAAACATTCCTGTGGGAATGAGTACTCCGGTTTCCTCTCACAGACCAAAAAAACATGCATGTTAGGGTTTTTGGGAACTCAATTGTCCCCAAGTGAGAGAGTGAATTTTTTTTTTTGTCTCAATTGCCTCTAAGTGTCCCTGTAATGGACTGGAGACATGTCCAGGGTGTCCCCCGCCTCTGGCACAGTGACTGCTGGATATGGGCACCAGTGACTCCTGCGACCCACAGAGATAGAAGTGGTGAAGATAATGGATGATGGATTAAATTCTGAAAATATAATAAACTAGAGAAATTGCATTTCCTGCGAAAATGCAGTGGGAATGTTTATTGCTGAAGAACTGGCTGAAGAATAGCTGAAATTAGCGAAAAACATACTTAAAGTAGCTGAAATGGAAGAACAAGCCTAAGGTAGCAGAATAAAGCAGAAAGAACACACATTTGCTGAATTTGTTTGGTTTTTTAAGCCGAAAATAGCACAAAAATTAGTAAATCACCTTAAAAGAAGCTGAAATGAGCAGATAAAAAGTAGATGAAAAGGCAGAAGGAAGCTGAAATTACCAGAAGCAAGTGGAGGAAGTCAATTGTGCCCAATTAGGCTGAAAGAAGAGGAAATGAGCTCAAAAAAGTAGAAATTATCTAAAAAAAAAAGCGGAAATTAGCCAAAAACAGCTGAATAGTAGCTAAAAAAGCAGAAATAAGTTTTAATTACCATGAAGCAAGTAGTGAGAGCACATTTATGCCGAATTTGAATGAAAAAATTTAAATGAGAGCCAAAAACAAGTAGAATTCGCTGAAAAAAGCTTAAATTAGCATAGAAACAGCTAAATAGTCTATATATATAGCTGAAAAGGCTGAAAATTGCAGAAATATGCTGAAAGGAGCATAACAAGCTGAAATTAGCAGAAAGGAGTTAGAAGAAGCACATAGATGTTGTAGTTAGCAGAATAAAGTTGAAAGGAGCACAAAACAGCAGAAAAACAGCGGAAAGTAGGTGAACGTAGCTGATTTTTTGTGTAGAAGGAAGCTTAAATTACCACTTGAAGGAAGTGAAGAGAGAGCAATTGTGCCCAATTAGAATTACCGAAGCAGAAATGAGCTCAAAAAAGTGGAAATCATTTGAACAAAATCAGAAATTTGCCAAAAACAGCTGCGTTTACATCTATACCTGATTAACTTTTGGAGTCAACCCCAATCAAGTTGCCTCAGCTAATCATTTTCAGCTTCATTTCACTTGTCCATACTCGGGTCGCAGATACATCAGGTCCATGAGAGAAACCCAGATATCCTTCTCCTCAGCAACACTCTCCATCTCCTCCATGTGGACCCTGAGGCATGCCCAGGCCAGAAAAGATACACAATCCCTCCAGCGAGTTCTGGGTCTGTCCTGAGGTCTTCCCAGTAGTACGTATCTAGAAAACTTCAAAGGAAGGTGTCAGGAGGCATTCTTATCAGATGCCCAGAACACCTCAACTGACGCCTTTTGATGAGAAAAAGCAGCAGCTCTACTCCAAGCTCCTCCCAGATGATGGAGCTCCTCCCCCTATTTCTCAGGCTGCGAAAGAACCCTATGAAAGAAGTTGTTTTCAGCCGCTTGTGTCCAGGATCTCGTTCTTTCAGTCATGCTCCATACGTCAGGTCTGCAGGTGAGGGTTGGAACAAAGACCGACCAGAACTTTACCTTTTGACTCAGCTCTTTGTTCACCACCACCACACTCTCAAGCAACCCCCTCATCACTGAGAACGAGCCGAGATGCCAAGATGCATAGCTGCAGCTGATCAGCTAAATAATCTTAACAAGCACAAACATGCCTGTAAATCAGTTAATTTTTACAGACATTGATTTAAACTTTAATGATGTAGAGCTGAGACCTGCGCACTCTGAGCACTGATTGCATGACATCCTTATTGATAACCATCCTATCAAGAGGCAGGATGGTTGTCTTCTGATCGGAGGGTTGGGGAGTCGATCTCAGGCCCAATATTCTTATCGGTGTATGTGTGAGAATAGATGTTTTCACCCAGCATATCTATACAACTGGGCACTTTTCTCACAGCTGATATCTTGTATAGCTTACATTCAGAAGAATCAAACTACGTCGAACCCAGAAGCAAAAAAAAAACAATGTTCTGGCAAACCTGAATTATGTCCACATCACAGAATATATTACCTGGAACTGATAGGAAAGGTTGTGAAACACAGTTTTGGACATCCTTTGGCATTAATCTAAATTCTCTGAGTGGTCACAGAACTATAAGCAAACATTTTTGTTGCAGTGTTATTGCCCACTGTCCAACTCACAGCTAGCAGGTTTTATTTTATTTTTGGCCTTGAAAAAAAATGGGACAATTTTATCTTTCAAATGACACATTACTAGGCCAGATGTGAGTGGACAATAATTATGCTCTAATTTGTAATGCAAGTTGTGAGAACTATCCACATAGAAAAATGTGCTGCTTAATAATATAAAATATAAATAAAAATTATGTATGCTTAATTGTCTGTGGGGCAGCACCGTGACTCAGTTGGTAGAGCTGTTGTTTCTCAGCGAGAAGGTCGCCGGGACCTTTCTGGGTAAAGTTTGCATGTTCTCGTGCATGAGTGGGTTTTCTGCTGGTACTGCGGTTTCCTCTTACAGACCAAAACATGCATGTTAGACTGATTGGTAATTCTAAATTGTCCCTAGGTGTGAGTGAGCGAGTGAATGGTTGTTTGTCTCTATATGTGTCCCTGTGATGGACTGGAGACCTGTTCAGGGTGTACCCTGCCTCATAGTGACTGCTGGATATGGGCACCAGTGACTCCAGCAACCCAAAAAGGAAGAAATGGGTAAAGATATCGAATGGCTGGATGAGTGTTTGTGTGAATGAGAAGCCTTTTAAAGCACATTGCAGAAAAAGATGATATATAAGTACAGTATGTTTGGACAGTTTTCCTTCTTCGTTTAAATTTTTTTGCCAGCACTGTGGTGGTCAATATGCATTCCATCCATCCATCCATCCATCCATCCACACATCCATCCATCCATCCATTATCTTTACCCGCTTCTTCCATTTTGGGTCACGGGGGTCGCCAGTGCCCATGTCCAGCAATCACTGTGCGAGGGGCGGGGTACACCCTGGACAGGTGGCAAGTCCATCACAGGGACACATTGTTTAAACCAAATTTTGCAAAACATATCAGGCTCAACTTTTTCCGAATAAAATGAACGCTTGCAGTAAAGCAAAAGTTCCATTGTTAAGTTCAATGGAAAAATCAATGCAGACGTGTGTCCTGTTTTTAGTGTTTTACCTTGTTTTATAATCTAGCATGTTCTCATTTTGTTTTATATCGCTACTTTTATTTTATATGCATTTTATGGCTGTTTATTGTTGTCTGTACCTTATCTGTGGTTTGTTTAAAACAGGTCTCTCGTGTGAAATGAGTCCTCGTGACTCAGTGAGCCTAACCTGTATAAATAAAGGTGGAATGAAAAAAAAAAAAAAAGCGCTCTTTCCTAAACCCCCTGGGCCCCCGTTTCCGCTCGGTGCGCCCCTGTCCGCCGGGGCCGCACTTAGAAAGTTTTCCATCCAGAAGATCAGACTACCCAGCAGAGGGAAGAGGAGGGCCGGGCCTTGAAGCTGTCGGGGGTGGGGGGGAACAGAGAACAGGGGGAGGAAGAAGAGGAGGATCGATATAACCAGAGCGTCCGCGCGCAGCTCAATCCTCACTCTCTTCAAGTGTTTGGAGCGAGTCTGATAAACGGAGGAACATTTCATTCCAACCTTTTTAAAAGGAGGTTGACGTGTTTGAGTGCGTGGCGCGGGTCCGCTCATCTCTAATCAGCAGACCATCATCATCATCATCATCAGCTCCGGTGTTTGGACGTTTGTTTCCCGGTGAACAGGACTTTTCACATCCTGACAGAACCACGCGTGTCCACCTCCAGCTGCGCTGCTGCTGCGGGTCCCGAGGAGCTGCAAGTGGACTTTTCAAATGCAATCGTACATGTATGAGAAAGCGATGGCCCAAGAGACGAGGAACGGAGGAACGTCCACGTTAAACAACAACAATGGTGCTGACAGCAGCAAGAAGAAGCTGCTCATAGTGCTCGACATCTTCTGCCTCCTGCTCGGTAGGTTTCCATTATATCTTTAGATCAGCGCATGCAAAACAGGACAAACTTTGCTATCACGTGTAACAGATTAAAGTGGCGCGCTTCTAACGAGTGACAATAAAAGTCTTATCCGTGAAAAAGTTTTGCAGATATCTGCAACGGCCAGACAGCATCCCCTTATCATCCAGCTCTGACATCAGCCACAGACGCCTGAGCAAAGCCACAATGACACCCTTCAACAACAAAATAAACACAGTTTTGTCTTGAAATGTGCAGTGCATGATTAAAACACGTGCAGCAGTTAACGGGGGTCTAAATGGATGAAGCTAAATGTGTTGTTTGTCTCAGCAGAGGCATCATGTGTTGTCATCACCAGCATATTGATCATTTCAGGCTCCCGCGGATCAGCTGGCTGCCAACATGCCTGTGGGGCACATGCTTTGAAATGTTGGACCCTGACCCTGTTACTGCCCTTAAAATAGCCCCCCCACACGCACACACACCTCCCCTCTTTCCTGCCTGCTTGCCCCATT